AAAGGCGCGTGTTGAAAGCCATTGCAATAAATGTCTCACAACCAATTCTTCATTTTGGAAAACGATCCCAAGCTACAAACACATCTTAATGCAGACCACCAAGTCCAAAGATTGCTAGAAACACAAAAACTAGAGCAAAGGAGCTCGCTGTCAGAAAAAAGCCAAACGAGGTTGAAGGGCACCCACAATACATATATTTCAAGTGCGTATCTTGAAGGACAAGTGGTTCCCGTCAAACTTGTCCATAAGTTAGCCATCTTGAATTTTGTAGGTAATGTAAACTGCTTCGAGGAACAAGGACAAGGAGTCCATGTCCCACCACTTCCTTGTGTGTCTTGAGGGCAGTAACTAGACCTTTCCAAACAATTCCAAGCTCTCTCTCAGTTTCTGAGCTTGCCAGTCTCAGAAGCAGTTCCAGGAGGGCATGTCCATCCCAGGGCAGAGGTTTTGAGGACGTCGGTGACACAGCACCAGTCCCGATTGGAGGCAGCAAGGATACATAACCCACCCCAGGCTGAAGCCGACTAATATTCCATTACCACTAACCTAGTTCAGCTATTCAAGAGTAGCAGATTCTCTGATGGCAGACTAAATGCTTATTACATTCTAGTCCTCTATTCTTGGCTTTAACATCGAGTTGTTTCCATGAGATTTTGGATGTCAGACAGTGATGCCTAGTTGGTGCAGTCGGGGTTGTTGGACTTGTGGTGAGAGCTCAGATTGGGATGTTTCCGGATACACAGGTGGGTCTTTAGAGGGGTACCTGATGAAAAGGACAAGTAGTCAAAGACGATTAGTAACTATCCTATTAAGGTGTTTATCACATAGGGTAATGTGAGATAGTGTGAGGTAGGCTATGTGTATGGGTTAAGGTATTTGACTTGGAACCCTTGTGATGTGGGGTGGATAATTGACCAAAAATTAAGGTAGTGTTGGTATAGGAGGAAGAAATGAACTTGAACACTAAGTGAGATGGGATGGTTTGACCCTGATGTGGTAGGGTTAAATGTATATGGTATGCTAGGACACTTAGGATAGGACCATTATGGGATGCTGAAATATGAGTTAAGGTAAAAGTGCTTAATAAGGCTGAGGACACCTCGACTTTTCGAAAGGCCCTAAAGTTCTACCAAAAAAATTTTTTTTTTTGGAGGAGACCTTAGGTTTGCCAAAATGAATGAATTATTTGGCCTAAAAGACCAAAAATGTAATTTCCAAGGATCTTTAGGACCAAAAATTAAGAGTTTTCCCAGAGTCCTAAGGGCCAAATGTAATTTTTCAGAGTCTCACAAGGGACCAAAAGTGTTGAATTTTCACTTTGGGAAATGGAAATTTTTTTTTTTTTTTAAGATTCTCTTTTTTATCAATCATTCACAGACCCTTTTTTTTTGGTGAAGTATGGGATGAAATGCGTGAATGGCGCCAACAACATCACAACATAATTCATTTTAATTAGAGAATGATTCAGCAATCAATTGGATGCAATACACCCTAAAGGATAGGTTATATTCTATAAGGCTAATGACAAGACAAATAGAGAATTGGCTTCTTATAAGAAGGAAACACTTTGAACCTTGAGCAACGGATATACCTAACCACAATATGAGAATAAGAGAGTTTCGCGTGGGTACCAACAGTACGCATACTCATGGGTCATCCTCTAAAAGGATTAGGGGATTGGTTTGGCGGTTAAACAGGGAGGACGCCTTGGCTGTCCGTCGACATAACAAAGAGACCTGCCGATAGCGAGCTACTTTCTACCAGAACTCAGAAGTTTTGAACAGAAGAGAGAAAGAAAATCATTTGAAAATTCATTATTTTCATGCAATGGAGAAAAGAAAATTCTCAATTCATAAAAGAGCAAATAAATAAACAAATTTAAATGAATTTAAAGTAAAAGTATAAATTAGGATCCAAATATCTCCTTGTTAAGCATTACTTAAAGAAAGAATATTTAAATTTTTTTTTTTTTTGTTGGGAGTAAGCCACTGCAAAAACAAAGAATAGAAAATAAATACCCCTAAAAGAAAGGTAGTTAGTTTTTTACACAAACGATCGTAGTCCGCTTTACGCAAAAAGATTGCATAATCATCAATCCCCAGCAGAGTCGCCAAAGCTGTGAACCTCCCTAGAAATATGGCATACAAAATGCATATGAACTAAAGGGCAGAATAGCACGTAGAATGTATGAGTCGCACAACCCCGTAAGAGATTGAGTTTTAATTATTTTTTTAGGGTAAACTAGGAAAACCCTAAAGTGACCTCCAAATTTTAATTAACCTAATTGTTAGATTAAACTATCGCCAGAATGTTTAACGGCAATGGTCTAAACGAACCAGAGAATGAGATCCCGAGACTATGTCATCTGATGAAACTAACCTAATGAATGAAAAGCTTTGCAGGACGATGAGTTAAATTGGACCAATAAAAATGTTTTATGTGATTTCGACTTGCGCCCAGGGTATAATCCCGAACGGCCTACGTACTTTCTGTTTGAATGGAAAGATCAAAAGTCAACGTAGTTCGATAGGCCCTATTTATAAAAAGGCTTTGAATGGGGTTATAAGCTTATGCATGAGTGGTGTATATGAACTTTGTGCATTTTGTTAGGCACTTTTGCCAAAATTAAGATTGATTTGATTTTAGGCATTTTATATGCCAAAATAATGTTGATTAAAAGGCTTTTAGGCCAAAAAGATTGGATTTAAGGCAAATTTTGCCAAAAAAGGTGTTGATTAAGCGATTGTCGCCAAAATTGATTGATTTGAAGGCCAATTGTATTTGCCAAAAGTTGATTAATTTAGAAAGACTTTTAGACCCAAAAATTATCGATTTAAGCGATTTGTTCGCTAAAAAAAATGGTTTAATCTACTTAATAGGACAAATTTGTTTGACCCAAAAAGAGATCAAATTGAATTGCAATGTAGGCAATTATTGAGCCAGAAGAAAAATAGTGTTTAATTAAAAGGCTATTATAGCCACAATTATTGATTAAATTGGATTTAAGCCAAACTGTTTCGAAATACAAGAGGCGATTACAACCATAGTTCATATGATATAACTAGGCTTTAAGCAAATATTGTCGGATTTAGAGCATTTAACACCGACGATATATTAATTAACCGGATTAAAAAAGCGTTTAAGCGTGAACAATGTTTGATTGAGGCAAGTTTATTTGCCAAAGTTTGATGTCATGAATGCCAGTTGTAAGAATTGGAGGGAGTAAGAAGAGAAATAAATGCATGAAATGATCGAATTAAATTAGACAGGGTTTAAGCTATGTACCCTGATTATTTCGACGCCCGCTCTTAGCTTCAGCTGAAAACTCCAAGTTAAGCTCCTCATTAGGGGAATATTGATTAAATTTAATTTAATTTAAGTGACCAAGTATCACAACAATAAAAATTAAACAAAAGCACCTAGTGCCTAAAATAGCAGAAAAGCAGGTAAAAGAATCGCAATATAGCGTAAGGGAGAAAGGAAACGTACCGTCAACACAGAGACTGAGTGAGTAAAAATGGAGTGTCGGGGATAAGAATTTATAGGCAAAATTCGGAACTGAGAAAGGGTGGCAGCATGCCTGCCGGGACGGCGCCACTGCAAGCCAGGTCAAGGCGGCCGTCTGCCATCCGTACCTGTCCATACAATCGCTTGACGGTTTTTGTTTTCGTTCCGAACGGACTTATTTTTTCGGGAGTTTTCGGACCTCCAATAAAAATTATTCCCCGAGACCAGTCCCCGACGATCCTCGCAATGTCCCGAACAGTTTTAAAGATACCGAGTAATATTGGCATACTTTCCGTAAATTTCCAATGACCAATCCCGGTCCCGGCCGGACTATTGTGACAGATCCCGGAAAAAACTGGCTTTTGAGCCTCAAATTTGAGAGAGTTCACAAGGCCTTACCACTTCCGGTAAATTTCCAAAATGACCTCCGGTCCGGCCGGACTATTTGCAGTCCGGAAAAACTGGCTTTTTGAGCCTCAAAATTTGAGTATTCACAAGGCCTTACCCTTGTTTCGGCGATTAGAACTCATTTCTAGGAAGTTAAAAAGCGAAAAACTAAGAACTTAAGTAGAAAGGTAATGGAAGTTACCTGAAGAACAAGGAAGGAAGTGATACGTTTTGAAAGAGAAATGCTATTGAGATGCAATCGCAGAAAATCCCAAAAAGCTCGGACACAAGACTTTATATAGTAGAGAAGCTCCTACAAACCGTCACTGGAAGTTAAAGGGCCAAGACACTCAGAGAGTTGCTTTTCCAATTTCAAACGCCACCACCATCAAAATGGCAGTTAGAAAACAAACATCTTATAAAGTTGATCGTTGCCTTCCAGTATGGGCCCACATGCGAACTCAAAATCCAAAAGGGCCCAATTTTAGGCTCAAATTTGCGCAGTAGAAACCTTATAACAAAGCAAGACAAGCATCTCTATTTTTCTCTTAAAGTAACACGCCGCATGTTATGGTCCGAATGTGTGAGAAGTTGACGATCCTGGGCGAGTAGAAGCTTGCCGAGCTCATCAACCGGTGACATAAATGACACCTGTCCCTTGGGGGGACATCTGATAAACACCATTCTTAGCGCAATCTTAGGACCCTATAACCACTCAACATAACATAAAAAGATATGTACTTGATATGAGGAGATAGTGCTCAGATATCTCTCTCTCCATTAATGTAATTGATCTAGCATCAATAACTGATATAAATGGATAAATCCAATTCCTAAAAAAGGTTAATGTCAGTTTAAGTTATTAAATATAATTAAAATATTGTTATCTTTGAGACTATCAAATCCAAATATGAAAAACTTAATTAAATTACTAAACCTTCAATGCATGATTTTTATTTTTGTTTTACTATGCGATGGAAAATTAAAAATTTTCAAAATATTTGCGCGCAAAGCCGGATTTATCTCCGCTGAGTAAAATAAACCTAACGAAAAATTCAGGATGAAATGATAGTTAGAAAGAAAAAAAAAAAATAAAAGGAAAGAAATGGGAAAATGAAAAATCAGTAATAGTAGAATATTATTATTTTATTTAGATCGATTGGCGGGCGAAGTTGTGATTGCTTCTCAGAAAAGACGGAGGGAGAGCGGCAGCGGCACAAAACCTTTGACTTGCTCGCCAGCAACCTTCTTTTTTTGTTTCTTAAAAAAATATCAGTGTTTGACCAGTCTGAACTCCTTAATTCATTTAAATAATGGAGTTGACAAAGACAATAACCACCTTACCAAATAAACACAGCCATCATCACCACCACCGGCGCAAAAGAAGAAGAAGAAGATCGATCAAGAGTTTGTAATGAACCAGTGATTTAGAAGGAAAAACGAGAGGGAAATGGCTTCAAGTGCAAAGAAAGCTGCGGAGGCTGCAATAGGAGCTATTGGAATGGGATATGATTTAACTGAGGATCTTCGGCTTAAATACTGCAAGAAAAATTCCTCCAGATTGATCTTAATGGACGATGATAAAGTGAGAGACATGGCGATTCCAGGAGGTTTTTCTATTCCTAAAGTCCCTAAATCCATCAAATGTGATAAAGGTGAGCGCATGAGGTTCAGCTCCGATGTTCTTTCTTTCCAACAGGTAATTTAATTTAATTGCTTTTTGATTTTTCACTTAAAGGTATGTTCGTTTTTTATTTGAAGATTACTAAATTGATTGGAAGATTAATAAGATTTGATTTTTCCGGTGAACCTTTTTCTGAGAAGCTGAATTGAACAGATGTGGTTGTGAAGTTCATGGTAGGCAATAAAAGTGAATTCTCAAGTCGGCTAGGTTTTCTAATAGTGCCTGTTGAAACATTGAATTAGCATTCCCATTATACATGTATAGTAGAGATGAAGGGATATTTGGGAACTTCAAAAATAGACCAACAAAAGAAAAGAGCAATACATATCTGTGATAGAGGAAAGAATTCATAACTGAATTCAGCTTAGACTCGGTTCAGGGGGATAAGGGGGGTAATGGTCAATGTATCGGTGTATAAGGGTAAGTTCAATCAATTAACAGGAGCAAAAAAGATGAGAGGTAGGCCAAAAATGATGCGGTTTAGAGTTGGGAAAAAAACAAATATCAATCCACCTTATCTGTTTGGTCTTCAATGGAATGTAACAAATAGGTTCTGAAAATTTGACACCAATTTTTTATCAAACGATTTAGGAATTCTTGTGATGTTTTATGTATTTATATTTCCTTTAATATTCTGATTTGTTTTCTAACTAACATTACAATTTATTCATTTTTATGGATTTATTAATATTATTGTGAGCCCTTTAGTAAGTGGGTGGCTTTGGTGTAAAAGTAAAGTTACTCCATTTGTGACTTGGAGGCCATAGGTTTTAGTCCCAAAAACAGATTCTCTGCAAAAACAAGGAGAAGGATGTGTACATCTACCCTCCTAGAGCCCACAAATGTTTAATGCATTGAGTCACCCTATAATAAGTCATTTAGGAGTCCAAGGCCAATGAACTATAATCGTTAGAATCTAAATGTATGTCTTTAACCTTTTTGTTTGTAAATATATCAATGTAATCCTTTTTAGTTATTAAGAATGAGGAATGTATCAATTTACGGAAATTATAGAAGCTTTTGTGACCCATTTTGAGACCGTGTGATGCAATTTTATTCATAAAGATGTAGTTTTATGTGGAGGGGAAAAAAGAAGGAGGGGGGGGGGGGGGTCTTTATATGCCTGGAGGTAGCGAACAACACAAGCACAAACACACCCTTGCACCAACCATTCACCCGCGATTCAAACCCTCACGAACAACGAGCCGATCAGACCAGAATGATGGCATTGCTGCCAACAGACTTCTGATACTTGAGCTGGGGCAATGGTAAAGGAATGGGGCTCACCTTGGGAAGTGGCACCTTGCTGCCTCCATCAGGGTCCCCGCTGCTGGAACCAAACAAACCTACCCTCACAATGGATGTGTGGCCCCCAAAACTTGCTTTTTGAGCTGGAAGTTCTCCAGAGAATCTAGAGAAAAGCTAGAACTGCTGGGAAAGGTCTGTCACTGCTCTCAAAACCACCCACAAAGGAGGTGTGGACATGGACTCCTTGTCCTCTGTTCTAAAGCAAGACTGCCACAAATTCAAGATGCCCACATGGGACAAATTTGATGGAAGCTACTCTGTTGCAAAACCAACTGAAAATGTATTGGTGCTCTTAACCCGTTTGGATTGCAGCAGCCAGCCTCCGTTGCTCAGTTGTTCCAAAATCCTCTACGGTCGCACATAAGATGGTTTTGTTACCTGGATCGGTCCTAAGATGAACGACCCTGGGAAAAGACATTTGAATGCATATTCCCAATACCACTATAACTATGGAGGTGGATGTTATTCTCGAGAGGGAACTAGAAACCACTAAGCAAAAGCATAATGACCATTTCCCTCGTTCCTTACGAGGTGGAGGGCAGGCCGCCCAAGATGAATAACCCGCGCCTTTAGACCAACGAACAGGTAGACAATCAATAAATAAAGAACCTGCCAGCCCGTCTACAGCAACAATACAAACGCCATATCTACCCACATTTCATCGCTCTTTGCATGCTAGAAAGTAGAAGATCTGATCAAATGGGCAACTGAAAAGAAGACTCAGGTACTCCAATAATAAGAACTAGCCAACCCGGCAAATCCACACGTGCCAGCATCACCCCCACCAACCATTTACGTGTGGGAACATGAGAAATGGCAATCATCCAGAAGAACTTATCGATCTCGGGAATGCCCATCTTTGGTTTTCCGAGAGGCCTGTAAGGCAACTCCATCAAGCCTTTGGAAGCAAGCCCACCTCCATCCGTTGCCAAGGAACTACAGGGCTGGACGTGAATACTTGAGTATCATCAGCGGTATGGGCATAAGACGGAAGCATGCCTGGACACTCAAGACCCGCATCCAGGATCTGGTGGTACGGTTCAATTATTCCCAGAAGCAAGCCTAACATTAGCACTAACCCTACCAATCACGGGGTAATGCTATAATGCGCTGACGCCGGAACTTGATCGATCCTTTCGAACTGTTCCTAGAATGAATAACATCTGTGCTGGATCTTGAATGACTAACTGAAGAGGTCGACCCATAAGGACGGAACGGAATATGCACCATTGGTCCTCGATAAAATCTAAAATAGCCCTACCAGAGGTAGAGGAGCAAAGGAGGACCGTACTTGCACGAGCTAAAAAAGACACAAAGCTAGGTGTCAATCTGGGACTTTGGCATCATCCTTTCCTCATTGCCCAGCCTCTTTGCTAGGCTTTGAGCCAACTTCAGCACGTCGGTAGAGGTTAGCCCTGAAGTGCTAGTATCACCCTCCACCCAATCATCTAAACATGCAAAGCATCGGGTTTTCTGATGATGACTTGCCCAAGGGAGGGCAGGGGCAGTCACAACAAGCCTTTACGTCACGGTTCAAACAGAGACAAAATTGGCTGGCCCATCGGTTCTCATTTTCAGCACTAACGTCTGCCCACTAAGGGTAGACAGCACTGCCTAGGGTTGGAGGAAGAACGGACTTCACCCATCTGACCCCAGCATAGTGAAAGCCTATGAAGACCCGATAGGAAGTATGGGGGTTGCCTACGCTGAAGTTCAACAGTCGGGCCACTGTGATGGAAGTCCATTCCAGTAATATGGTACCACACAGGCGGGTTCAAACCTGCTTCTGGTGCCGACCATGGATACACCACACTAAGGCAGTACCTCGTAGCCTTGGCAGGGGGGGGGTGGACACGATAATTAGGGTATACAATGTGGTTTTTGTCCATATGGCTATTGAGTTTAAAGACATCAAACTGTTATCGAGCGGTTAGAGGGATATTGTTCTAGGAAATGACCTTAACATGGCCATTATTCTTGTAAAAGGGGAGCACTAAGATGGGCCATGCTCTCGCTTATTTGATCTGACTCACTTTGAAGAGCGCTGAGTCGCCAAACACTTAGAATTGTCAGCCTCCACTCCCATACTCAGATTTTCCAAGCTATGTATCACTACCCGTTTTTATATAGACCTACATAAAAATAAACAAGAGACAAGGTTTTCGTTGCAGTTAGATAGGTGAAAATGACTGATTAACTCTCTTGGTATATTTGACTATTGATTATTATGGAAATGGATAGTGCAATTAATAATAAAATCTGGTCGATTAGGTGTCTTCTTAATTCGCTGAATATGTTCCTAAAATTCGGCGGGAATAGAGATTTTATGAGCACAAGGTGAGTTACCAGAAGGAAAAGAATCATTTATCCTCATAATTGAAGCAAAATGCAACGGTAGTTGTCCTTGGTTGTAAAGAAATGGGACCTATAAATTCAGATTGACTTTGTATGCACAGCCACTAAATGAGACCATTTTGTTTTTCGCCTATAAACTGTAGATGCCCAAATAGTGGTTTCAATTTGAGAAAAAATGAAAATCGTTAATCAGTTGAATATAAGTTCGGAGCCGTTATCCCTCTTTCTACTTTGACTAATACTTGAACACCAGATTCTTTTACATGGCAAACCGGGAGAAATGCAGTCTATATTCTTGTGGCTTTTTCTCTGTAGTATATTATTACTTATTCTTGCACCTGAGATCTGTTTGTTTGTAATAAAGTTACATGATTATAAATTAAATGTAAACAATTCTGACTCTTGAAGAGACTTACAAGAATGAAGTCATGCCTGTTGCGTTTGGCTGCTTTAACGGAAGGATTATTCTCAAACTATTTTGATTTCATTGGGGCAAACAAGCCCCGGAACAACTTAACCGGCACTAGGGATCCACGCTAAGAGCTTTCATTTGTTGCATGCCTTATAATCCTATTCATTTATTTGAATTGAGTGTACCTTGCGGTTATCAAAAAGAAAATGATGGCGAATCAAGAACCTTGCTCGACTGCATCAACGCCTCCAGAATAAAAGGGGGGGGGGGGGGGGTTGGAGTTTTAAATGTTGTAGGCTATTGATTTAAATATTGAGGGTTGAGGGTGTACATATGATTTTTGTAAGGATGTTTGATTGTATTAGGGGAGTGAAATTGAATTGTCAGCCTATCAATACTTAATCTGTTTATATAGACTAATAAAAATAAACAAAAAATTTGCAGTTTGTGAATTTCTTTTATTGAAACAAGGAAATTTCAAATAATGTTTTCCTTATAAAGAAAATTTAAATGGTTAAAAATTTTATTGAAAATAAGTTTTTAAGTTAAAATCATTGTCCAAACATTTTTTTCTTAAAAATTTGCATTTTCATTTAAAAATATTTTTGAATATAATTAGTTCTCTTTCTATTTGGAATACAATCTTTTAAGTTATTTTTTTTTATATCTTTTATGATTGTTTGTTTGTAATAAAGTTACATGATTATAAATTAAATGTAAAACAATTTGATTTGAAGAAACAATAATACCTGTTGGTCTCACGCTATAGCAGATCCTGTTGTTCATTTATATCCATAATCTATTACCCTAACCCCCAAGATGAACCATTCACCCCACTTTTAGTCTGAATGTCACTCTAGAGTTTACCACAAGATGGACTAGATTAAATGTTATCCCAGGACCTTTCACCCTTTTCAGGTATGGAATATTACCAAAAAATTTTAATGCCTACACAAGTTTAGCTCATGTTTCAGTTTCATCAATTATAACCAAAACTTTGGGATTTTGGTGTTAATTGTCGTTATATATGGCCAAATACACCTCAGATTTTTCATCTTCTATGCTTCATTGTTGATGTTCTATTTTTATTTTTATTTTTTTAAATCAAGATTATAAAGAAGCAAAGGATTCCCATTGTGAATAGGAAATTAAACAAGGAGATTAGGGTCAGTTTTGGGATATCCTTCTATTATTTATATTGCCTTTTTTGAAAAAATTAATAATAAAAATTTTTAGTGGGAGGTGGCTTTAGCATGATGGATAGTACCAGCAAGTACACAGATGTGAGGTCTAACTGCTGATGGCTATAGGTAATGCCATCACCATAAATTCAGGTTATCATTGACAAATTATGGTAAGCCTAAAAATTAACATAACACTAACTTGTTTTGTTTTTCAAATCGAGTAACTTTTCATCTTATACCAAAATTTCCTCAACTCCAATTCCATGGGCACTTTGAGTGTGATTTCTACCCCATGAAATTTGAGAGTGAAACTTATATTCTCGTCATTTAATTTCGCTAGCAAATTTACTATAGCAGAACTGAAATTTGTTTCCTCAAATGGTTCAAATGTCTTATACCTGCTCGTTAAGTTTCTTCAGATGGTGAAATGTTCCCTATGTCTACTTTAGTTTTTGAGAGAAAATTTACAGAAGTTGAGTGTTGAGCTTCAGGCATTAAGATTAGTTCTCATTCTTGATAAGCCAGAAGATTACACCAAATTGGTCAATGAGTTGTATTCTTTGTTAAGTAAGAAAATGAATTTCCCATTCTCCATCTACTCCAGTGGGAAATTTACTGAAGTTGGACTGAATCAGATTTCTATCTTTTCAGGTAATAACAATAGCCAAAAGTTTGGATTCTGGCACTTAAAGCTATCCTATCTCTTCATGTTTTTTTCTCCCCCTGCATATGCATCTGAATTCAGTTATGTTTAATGGTTATGTTGCATTTTTCAATGTAAAGCTTTTTATCTTTCACTTGATAGTGTTGGTAAACCCTATCTGAATTATCAGTCAATGTTTGTCATTTAATGTTATTTTCTTGTTACAAAATGATTTGTGCAATATCACAAAGGTGAGTTCACAATTTTGGAAGATAAAAGTAATTTACTTGGCTATTATTTGGACAAGAAGTTGTACGTTTATCTGAAAACTGATGTTGTTCATATTTAGCATACTATTGGGAATGGGGATGATAATAATTTCTTTACTTTTAACAAGTAACTCGATCCGTATGCTCATATTTTCTTCTCCCTCCAAAACCTCCACCTCTATCCCTTGTTGGTTGTAGATGGCAGAGCAGTTTAACCAAGAACTATCTCTTTCTGGAAAAATTCCTTCTGGTCATTTCAATGCTGCATTCAAATTAACTGGAGTTTGGCAGACAGATGCTGCCAATTCTAAAGCTCTTGCTTTTGATGGTGTTTTTATCACGCTTTACAACATTGCATTAGAAAAATCTCAGGCAGTGCTCTCTGATCATGTGAAAGAAGCTGTACCTTCAGCATGGGAGCCTGCTGCATTGGCAAGGTAAGGTTCTATGACTTACAGCATTATGCTTTTATCAAACAGAAGATATCACTACATTTGCAAGAGCTGGCCTTTTTGTTAAACTTGACATTTCCTTATTTGATTTCTCACATTTTTTCATATATCAATTGGAAGCTGCTTGTATCTTAGTCATTTGGTGATCATATTTCATCGTTTTCTCACACTACCGTTAAACCACTAGATGTTCTTTCTCCTTGTTTAAACTGGTATATAAATGAACTTTATCTTGCGATATGCCTACGAGATTTTACAATTACTAGAAACTTCTTGGAGTACCATGTGCATCAAAAGTACGTTTTACTAAGATTAAAGCTAGGGCGATAGCATAATGAACAAGCCTTGATATGAATTCTGCAAAATTAATCTGTGAAAATGATAATGATAATAGCTAGGCATAAATTCATTTGTTGATGTAGAAATCTTCACTGGATGTCTCCTGACTCCTTAAAGGTAGAATGTCTTGTGACGAAAAGATTTAGGCTTTAAAAAAAAAAGAATCGAATCCCTGTGCATGTTTTTTCAATTTTTACCAAACCTTTTAATTTCAGCATTTATAGCCAGCTGGTTAAAATTGGAAACTTAAATTGTTGCTGATAAGGACAACAAAACATTTAATAATTCTTTAGACTCCACCTGCCCCCCCTTCTCTCTCTCTCTCTCTCTCTCTTTTTCTTGCCCATGGAGGTCTCACCGTTCTTTTTTCACTATCTTCCCTTCTCCACCGATGTCCTCTGACAAGGTAAATGGTTAGCACTGATGGCCAGAATACAGATGCTGGGGAACGTTGGATCTAGGTGATGACTCAAAACCCAACTGGGTATGGGGCCGCCTTTGATCAGTGGGAGCTCACTAGAGATTGGAGGTTGGTGTGGTGTGGTGTGGTCAACGAAGAAATAAATAGCTCAAATAAAATGTTTCCCACTTGATCTCACTTGCTGCTTCTCTCCCATTCATACACCTCAAATTCACCCATAACATGCCATTTGGTTTCTAAACTAGGATCACATAGTTGACTTTTCTGAATTGGTGATGAAGTTATTGTGCTTCTGGTATGCCTGTGACATTAATGTTTTTTTGCTTACCTCTCTTATTCCAATCAGCAATAAATATTTCTTTCCATTGGCTGGCTAAAACTGCAACTAGTGCCGAATACCTAAATTTGAAAATATTTAAATGTTTGGTCAAAATTGAAAATAAGCACAAATGTTTGAATTATTATTTTAGTTATTTTTTCTATTAAGCTTATATAAATATATTGAATTATTATTTAGTTTATTTTTTCCTATTAAGCTATATAAATATAATATATATACTATATATATATATATATATATATTATATATATATAATATACGTACTATATATCACGTAGGATTTCAAAAGTTTAATTCTACCACATAAGCTTTTGATGATTCCAAAATCAATATTTATGATATACATTATTTAATTTTATTTAATTTCATTATTAATTTATGGTGAATTTAACTATAACAACAGTTCATGAATTAATGGGTTATTAATTTTCAGTTAATATTTAAATTATACTTAATTATTTATTGTGAAAAGATTAACGTTATTTAAAATGACGAACATAATTTTCATTTAATAAATTTTGGATTTAAATGAATTGTAAATGCTTGAAAAAGCTTATATGTATACCTCGTAATTATTTATCTAGAAGTCAATTATATAAATATTTGAAGACGATTTTCTTGTAAAGTGAAACATTAAAAGTTCAAAAGAATATATATAAAAAATTAATTTTTGTTAGTTTTTGCGTGGCACAAGCATGTACTAGTAACACAATCTAATTCAAACTTTTTCCTACCATAATACAAGGAAGAGTTTTGGTGATAACTTGTGTCCATAATTGGTTAATTTGAAAGTTGAAATTTAATAAGCCACTAAGGTAGTAAAGTTTTTTATTTTACTTGTATGCTTTCTGCTTTTGTAATTTCTTTAATCAGAATTTGTGGTTTCTCCTTTGGTTAGGGATACTGCAGCATATTAGGCTTGTGCAAGAGTTATGGTTTGGTTCCTAGTTGGAATTGGAAGCAAACCAAAAATTCAGTTCTTTTCATTTTCTTGGAATTTGAACCAAATTGAAGGTTCAGTTTGATACCCAAAATTTACAGTTTAATTCTTCAGTTTTTTTTTTTTTTTTTTTTTTCAGTTTTTTTTTATTTTTTTTTCTGCGTTCCCAAATGAAATTCATTATATTTTTTCAAATAAACAATCCATAATATAAATTTCCTACTATATCACTACTATATTATGTTTCTTTAATAAGAAAAACAAAGACTCTAATATTAAAATAACAATGATAAAAGTGATAATTCAAAAAAAAAAAAAAAAAAAAAAAAAAAAATCTGGAACAGCACATACATCAATTTATGATGCTATGTTTCGATGGTCAATTTGTTATTTCTTTTTATTATTATTATTATTCAGCTTAACCATTAAAAATACCTCAAATTTTGCGGGTAGTTTTAATTGTATCCTAAATCCAACTTTCTTTTTCTAGTACCCTAAACTTCAACTTTAGTTACAATAGCATCCTATTTTTAAATTACATTCAATTTAATGAATAAAATATTATTTTCTTTGGACTATATTCTCTCTTATGGTCGAGTTAACTAAAAACTCACTGTTTAACAACACTCTAACTAATATTGGACAGGAATTTAAATTCATAAAAGCCAAATAAAATAATAAATTTTAGTTAGTTATAAGCATAGAATATTAGTTAATGTTTTTGTTTTCCATGTTTTAAGCATGAAATTTTGTTTATACCTAAGTTAGATCCCTTATAAAAATAAGTTTTATTTATTTAGGCGTCATTTTATTTCTAGAGAATCATTACTTGTTGTCAATATTATATAAATAAATAAAAATATTTTATTTTTAAGATTAATAGATTATTTTTTTATTTTAATATTTATTATTTTTTATTTTAATATTTATATAATAAATATAACATATTTTTTTATTTAATAAGGCAGTGGTAGGAAGGAGTGGGGAAAAAGCGTTAAATTGGATCCCACGAAATAAATTTTATTCATTTAATTTCAGGTTAATATTTATATAAATAAATATAAATATTTTTTTATTTATAAGCAGTGGTAGGAAGGAGTGGGGAAAAGGTTAAATTGGATCCCACGAAAATAAAATTTTATTCATTTAATTAGGTACAATTTGAAACTAGGGTAATATTGTAACTAAAGTTGAAGTTCAGAGTACTAGAAAAAGAAAATTAAATTTAGGGTACAATTAAAACTGTTCGTAAAGTTTAGGTTTTTTTTAATGATTTAGCCTTTATTATTCTTAATAACTTTACTATTATTAAGAACAAACTAGTTATTAGAAGGGCTATGATTATAATACTACAAGAACTATTTGTCATAATGCTATTAGGCATTATACTTATTAGTTATTATAGTATTAGGCATAATTATTAATATTATTAGGTATAGTTCTAAATATAATACTGTGTACAATTATGATTAGAAAGATTATTAGAATATTTGTTATAACTAGAATAATTATGATTATAACACTAATATACTATGATTGTAGTGCTAATTATAAGCAGAAAAGCTATGATTGTAACATTACTGGAATATTACTGATAAATAAAATAGTTATAATTATGAAACATTTATAATGCTAGCTATCATAATATATAGATAGAAACACTTACATCATATATGTTATAAATGCAATATTTTTACATATGATGATGATGGTATCTAATTTTCCATTAAATTTTACATTGGAATAAGATTATCTGAAAAGCTAAATAAATTTGGTTTGGTATATAATTCTAACTATTATAATATCGGTCCCTTCACTATGCGTCACTTGGAGTTAAATAATTTTTTATCATATATATGATTGAAATATGTTATTATGATCTAAACACATTTATAATTATAGATTATTATATTAAGTTGGATATAATAAGAGATTGCATATACATTATTAATTATCATTTTATTAAATCAAAGATATCATAAGCGATGATAAGTTATAAATTTCTAATACAGCACAACTGATTTTTCAAGTTATACATCATTTTTATTAGCAAATAGTAATCAAGGGTTTTTTTTAATAACAAAATATGATGGCTGCTGAAGACTATATATCTAAAAAACTATAAAAATGAAAATTCATAAATTGGCTCATCAGTTCGGTACAGTTCTGATTTGGTCCATCACTTAGGGCTTGAAATTGAACTCAATAACTAAACTCTTAATTTGTTTCAATTTAATCATGAAATTTAAATTTTGTTTTCATATAGTTATTGTTGCTTCCATGTTGCACAAAAACCTCTCCTATACCAAGGTGCCTGTATGAAGAGCATTAGGACATCAAAACTTATATTTTAACAACTTCGTAAATGTAATGTAGATATATTTTAAAACTTGGATACTCCAAGTAAACATTCTGAAGACCTAATGAAAACTTGGAAGACAGGCTTAATTTGCAAATTAAATTTTACAGACAATATTGTTGTGACAAAGATGATATTATACTTTGTTCTAATTTAGTTTTTAATGAATGATAAAACACTTATTTGCATGCTTTGTTAGGAGATGTATCACCTGAATTTAATGGAAACCAACATGAAGCATAAATGACGTTTAAATGCATAAGAAAAATTTTCTATTGGGCTTTTGATTGGATTGACAGAGTCCAGTCAGTACTGACTGAATCAACGAATTTAAAGTTGGATAATAAAATTGGTATAATTTGACCAGCTTGAACTCAATCTTAAGTTACTAACAGTACAATTTACCTATTCGAAAACCAAGTAATTTTAAGTAAATGAAGGCCTAGGGGAAAAAACACCAGAAATTTTGAAATGTGAAATCATTGTCAGAGATTGCTATAAGTAACTAACACTGGAGATCCATTTTTCAACTGAGAAGTGTTTGATGAGATAATTAATTAAGCATGCTGGATTTTCTTTTAACATTAAAGATAAAAGAACATGCATCCAGATCCAAGTCATTTTTTCTAAAAATAATGTCTCATTTGTTAACTATAAATGATGGTAAAGAGCTGCATTCTATAATCTTAGATGATGTTTAAGTTAGCGGTTACATTTTTGCAATGATTGGCATAAAGTTTGCCCTAGTCTATTTGCTGGAAGCTTGTGTTATTTTGTGATCTTATTACAATAATGATGGTTGTGTCTGTGATTTTGTGTAACTGAAATATATTCTTCAAACATGTCTAGTTATTATGTTTTGCTCTTCACATCCAGTTTTATAGAAAAGTATGGCACTCATGTGGTTGTTGGTGTCAAAATGGGGGGAAGAGATATAGTATATGTGAAGCAGCAGCATTCATCGCCTTTTGAACCTGTTGACTTACAGAAAAAATTGAAAGACATGGCAGACAAGATTTTCGCAGATGGAAATGGATCAAATATCAGAAATTCTGATAAATTTTACGAGAGTGAAAAGGTCTGAAGAAAACTTGTTTGGATTTTCTGATCAATTTGATGTGGATGAAATTTAAGTTAGAAGAAAATTTATTTGTTTATTCTGCAATAATTATTCTATAGTTTGGAAAAAGAATACAAGAATATCATGAACTTGCTTTATATCTTAGGTTCTTTTGTGCTGATGTTCCAGTTTGTCAAGGAGCATGGAGCCACATACATGGAACAATTTCTGTCCAATTCTGATCTCCATGCTGAGGTATCCAGTTCTCCTCTTTAACTGCTTAGCTTATGAGTGGTTGGTTCATAGCTTATTTAGTCGAGTCTGCTTAGCTTTTATCACCAAAAGTTTATTTTAAGAAGCTTATATATACCCATTTATGTATGCATGTTGCAGGGAATTGAATTCATACCTAGGAGGAAAGGTGGGTTGAATAAGAGCCTGCACCACAGTGATTGGTGTCAAACTGTTCAGTTTGAACCTGATGTAGTCTCTATGTCATTCATCCCAATCACATCTCTATTGAGTGGAATTAATGGGAGTGGATATTTGACCCATGCTATCAACCTCTATATCCGTTGTAAGTGTGAATTTTCCTTGTATTTATGCATTCGTTACATTAGTCCAATAGTGCTGTTTGGATGGCTTGTTAAGTTGCAGTTTGTTGCCATTCATTATGATTGCTAAATGCGATATTTTTTGTTTCTGCTAAGTATGCCAAGCAGTGCAAAATTGCATAATATGATCAACTTATTTGCGTCTCCCTTTCTAAATTCCTTAAAATTAGTGAGTAGGAAATCCTTCATTCTCGACAGCCTTATTGATTTAGAACAGCCAGGTACAAAAGAAAATGAAGAAAGCAAACGAGAAGAAGACAGAAACTGAGTTAAATAAAAAGAATATCACTAGTGGATTTTAAATTCAATTCATACTCTCCTGTCAACTTTGGTTAATAGTCTACAAGGATGCCCTGTCCAATGGAAATATCCTTCACCGTTATCTTTGGTCTTGGAGTAAATCTCATGGTCTTGATTTATCAGATTCCCGCTCTTCCTGAGAATATCCAATCAATTTTAATTTTTTTTACATGTTTCTTGAGTGCAGATAAGCCACCAATTGAAGAATTACATCAGTTTCTGGAATTTCAGCTTCCAAGGCAATGGGCACCGGTATTTGGTGAGCTTGCCCTTGGTCCAGATAGGAAGCAACAAGCTAATGCATCTTTGCAGTTCAGCTTCATGGGACCTAAACTTTATGTTAATACAACACTGGTAATGCTGTTATGAGGATTTTTTTCATTTTCTGCTGAGTTGGATATGTTATTTTTCCACTGAGTCTTTGTTTGTTTCCTTTATTTTCCCTTGCTCTTTTACCTCAAAAAAGAAAATGGCCATTCACCTGTTATCATATGGAAAATGAAATCGCAAAATAGTAGCGGTTACTCACCAATCCCAAGCTATCTTGTTATGATGTGATAATAAATTACACTTTTTTTTGTGTAATCAAAGGATAAAACACTTTGACTGAAGGAAAATGGTTGCACAAAATTTGATCCCAGATATGGGTTTGCCAGACTCAAGGCTAGAGTACTTTATTCAATCTAATAACAGTAAGTTGAGGAATGAAATCAAACCATAGATCTGTTCTAATTAATCAATTGAAAACAACATATATCCATGTGAAACAAATAAAATATTTTTTATTTACAAAGAGGGAGTGATCATGTGGGTTCAAGGATACTGGGAAAGGTCACACAGCAGATAATGGGTATGAAAGAAGAAAAGCAAAGAAAAGAAAATAGATAAGCAGGAGCAGGGAAAACAGTTCTAGTGCAAGAGAAAACCCGTTTAAAGTTGGAACGATACCATCACCTTATGGATAAGGAAGAAAAACAGAAACTTGAGTTTGGAATAGGAAAAGATGATTGCATGAGTACTTTGATGTTGTTTAGGTATGTGAAAAGTCTCTCTCTATCTGTTAAAGAAAAATAGGTCTCATTACTAGCAGGAGGGCTTAGGGTTGGCTTATGGTGCTCTTTTCATGGTATAGGGTAAATTACTATTTAGTTCCTATTAGTACTTTGGTGTTGTTTAGGTATGTGGAAAGTCTCTCTCTCTTCTCTCTCTCTCTCTCTCTCTCTCTCTCTCTCTCTCTCTTCTGTTAAAGAAAAATAGTAAATATTACTTGGAGGAGGGTTTATGTTGCTCTTCTCATGGTATAAGGTTAATTACTATTTAGTTCCTATGATTTAATCAAGTTGTCAAGTCGTGACCTTTGTCTTCAAAAACGAATTAAATGGTCTCTCTATTTTGTTAGTCAACTAAATAGACCTATTAAATTTTCATTAAATTGTGATGACAGGTCAATTTTAGCAGTGTGGAGCTAGGGCCCTAAGGTTAGAGAGGACACTCATTTATAATATATTTTAAGGGTATTCACAAATTATAAATCTAACAACTTAAGAGGTTCACTTTATAGATATATTATTGGTTGTCTAGAAATTTTTTTCAAGTCAGGGGGTACACTGTACGTGGCTCCACCACTGAATTTTAGCCTTTAACAAAACTTTGAATTTTCTTTCGCATACAACTACCAAATCAGACCCTGAGTTCTATTTTTTTTTTTTTTTTTTTTTTAACAAAACTTTGAATTTTCTTTCGCATACAACTACCAAATCAGAACCTGAGTTCTTATTTTTTTTTTTTTTTTTTTTTTAATTTAATTTTTTTTTTTTTTTTTTTTAATCTTAAACATCACCAATCCTAATTCATAAATGGAAACTCATTAAAAATAATAATCTATTCATATGAGTACATTAAATTACTAGATAAAACTCCAAAATTTTTTTCTTTTCAGGCAAAATCAGAATAATAGGCATTATATTTGACTGTCTTTAGTTGACTAACTAAAAGATTAGCAAAAATTTAATAGGACTGTTTAACTGAATCCTAACAAAATAGAGGGACTATAATTGATTTTTGAAATAGAGGTCCTGACTTATAAATTTCACCAAACTATAGGGTCTAAATAGTAATTCACTCTAATTGGAAAGAAACATGTTAATTTGAGTTTGAACATCTTGGGCCAGATGACTATTCAGTTTAATCAGTAAGGAAAGAGTTGGCGATTAGTTCATGTTGATTCAGTGGATTCATAATTATTTCACTCACTTAGAACTTCCCAACTGTGTTATTCTGTGTGACTACGATAATTCTGATCTTGCTTGTGTAGCTCCAAACTATTATCTTGCTCTGATGATGTTCTCCAAATTGGCTGTTGCAGTTTTAGCTGCATTTTAAGGATATATTTTGTGGTGATCTTGGGAACTGTGAATTAATTCTAATGATTACAATCGTTAGTGGAAGAACATCAATTAAATTTAATATGATGATGTGCTAATGGAATGAACAATTATTACTTTTGAGTTGAAAATGTGGAAATGGCTGGAAGAATTTCATTTTCCGATTGGGACAACATAGATTTCAATGTTCTGCAATATCTCATTGCTAAACTAGTCAACTGGCAAACTTGAAAAACAGCATATAAATTTATAGCTGGTGATTCTGTAGCCATCTTACGGTTTACCCTTCCCTATAGGATGCTTCTTATCAGCACTTGGGCATTCTACCTGGTTATATAGGATGCTTGCATAATCATTGACTCTTACTTTTATTTAATTTTCATTGCAGGTCGATGTGGGGAAAAAGCCAGTTACAGGCCTTCGACTGTATTTGGAAGGGAAAAGAAGCAACTGCTTAGCAATTCACTTGCAGCATCTTTCGTCACTGCCAGAGACCTTCCAACTTGAGGATGAACAAATTGGTAACAGCTCAGATCCTTCCTCTGAACGAAGTTACTATGAAAAGGTTCAGTGGAAAAGTTTCTCACATGTTTGCACAGCCCCTGTTGAGAGCGAAGAGGATCTTGCAATTGTCACAGGGGCTCGATTTGAAGTAGGCGACTATGGGTTAAAAAAACTATTGTTTTTAAGGCTCCATTTCTCCAAAATTATTGGTGCAGCAGCTCTTACAAAAACTGACTGGGATGGTTCTCCCGTCACAGGCCAGAAATCTGGAATAGTTTCCTCGTTTATCAGCACTCGTCTCTCAATCGGTCAAAAACCACCTCCAAAGCAACCTGAGTTGAACATAAATTCAGCTGTGTACCCTGGGGGCCCTCCTGTACCTGCCCAGGTTCCTAAACTGTTGAAATTTGTTGACACGACTGAAATGACGAGAGGACCCCAGGACTCGCCTGGATACTGGGTTGTGTCTGGGGCAAAGCTTAATGTTGATAAGGGGAAAATCTCTCTCCGAGTTAAGTATTCTCTCATAACTTCGCTTTTACCTGAAGAAGAGGCGTAAGCAATGCATTTGAAATTGGGAAAAGAAACAGAAGGCCGCTCCACGAGCTGAGGTTCCTTTGTTTGTCTGTATGAAAGGATGCAAACAGGATGTTTGTATATAAATCATTTTCTGGTGTGTAATTTTATAGCTTAACTTGTGTAGAGTTTATTTAATTTTATTATTATTCTTTTGGTTAGAAAGCAAATTTATAGATTTAAACAGAATTTTCAAAATAAGTGATTTAAATTCTACTAATTGAAATGAGTGCGGAATAAAATCGGAGCAAGTTCCATGAAAAGATCTATAACTAAACAAATAGAAAGTTGAAACAGACTAATTTGAAAGATAAATTATTCACATAGAACAACGAAAGATTTCTAATTCTAAAGCACTTGAGTAGCACCGGTTGATGTGTTCGGATGCAAGGTATCATCAGAGTAGGTACCATGCTTGGTTGAGTCGTATTTTTCACCATCGCCCCACAGTGCATAGGCCTCTTCGCCATGCACAGCATCGTCGCCGATCAATAGTTGCTCCTCCGACATACGCAATGGGATCACCAAATTTATGAGCACACAGATGATTGAGGTGACAACTAGGTTCCATCCGATGATGAATGCGGCTCCAACAAGTTGTTTGAGGAATTGAAGCCCACCAGATCCGCCGTAGAAAGCTCCTTTAGAGTTGGTGACCGGTAAAAAGAGAGCACATAACTGGGGTTCGGCCAAAAGCCCGGTTAAAGCGCCACCTAAAAGGCCGGCAACAGCATGAGTATGGAAGACTCCAAGGGTGTCATCCACTTTCTGGAGGAGCGTCCATCTCTTGTGTACAATCATCATCGTGAACCAGGGAATACTTCCTGATGCTATTCCCATCAATATAGCTGCCCATCCTTGGACAACACCTAATTAATGGGTTCATTAGCTACCATTAATTAACAATACCAATCAATTTTTTGCATTTTCCTTTTTAATATAAATATTTTGCATCACGTTACGTTACGGTCCACGAATAAAGTCTTTTGTCATAACGATCAAACTAAAATTTGTAATAATATTCCTCGATTCATAAATTTATTAAAGTTTAATGTCCCCCATTATAGATTTGATTTGTTTGTTCGTTATACTCTCCATCCAAAAAAAAAAAAAAAAAAAAAAAAAAAAAAAAAAAAAAAAAAAAAAAAAAAATCCCATTTTCATATCGGAAGTCCAAAAATAATAGTCTATTTCTAAAACAAAAAAAAAAAAAAAAAAAAAAAAAAAAATCCCATTTTTCATATCGGAAGTCCAAAAATAATAGTCTCATTTCTAAAACTGGAAATAGTCCTTTTATTGGTTTCTCTATAATACCCTTATCATATAACTTATGTCAACAATTCATATGCACAGAACTACTAAATATTTAGTCAAATAGACAAACATTGTCATATTCTTTCTATTTTTTTCTCGCAACATAATGGATATAATATAAAATAATTAAAACATATAACAAAGATATTAATTTTTTATTAAAAACTCTATGAAGATAGGGTATATATGAAAAAAGAAGGGTAAATTTAATATTTAAATTAATTTAAGTATCCATTTTTAATCTATGTTGAAAAAAAAGCGACTATTTTTATAAGACGAAGAAAGTATATAATTGAATAATAGCTTTAATAGTGGAGGAAGTAATTTTCAAATTAATAGTTTCCATCTTATAATACTTTTTTTTACTATTATTTTTAAAATTTTGGATTTATTATTCTAATGGTTTTAATTAAAATTTAAAAGTTTAAGATATTTTTAGTAGAAAAAGAAACCTGCACCGGGAGTGATACAAACAAGGCCGGTGATCATCCCCTGAACGGCGCCGATGACAGAAGGTTTGTTGAAGAAAAAGACATCAAGCCAAGTCCAAACAAGAAGGCTTGTAGCTGCGCAAATGTTGGTATTGAGGACGGCCATAGAAGAGTCTATGTTGGCAGTGTATGGATCTCCACCGTTGAATCCAGCCCATCCCATCCACAGCAATCCTGCCCCTGCCAGCATCAGCACTACATTATTCGGTGGAAATCTCTCCCTGTCCTTTTTTGATCTTGGCCCCACCTGCATCATTAACATTCACTTCTCCTCAACTCTTGGAATTCCTTTTTGTCCTTTTTCTTTCTAAAGTAATAAATACATAAATAGACTTTTATTCCAAAAGATTCTGATCTATAACTAAAGATTCTTACTTGTAAATAAATTTTGAAAATAAACAAATAGTAGTTGACTTATTTAATGCCTCTTTAAAATAAAGATTCCACCTATAAATTTGTTTAAAGGTTTTGACATTTGTTAATTTTAAAGTAAAAATTCTAAATTAGAGATAAAGATTCTTATTCCTAAATAAAATTTAAAACTAAACATTTTGATGTATAAAGATTCTTATAAAGATTCTTTCTTTATTACAGATAAAAAAATAAATTATAAATAAGTAAATTATAATTTATTCAACTTATTTCCAAGTATCACCGACAAATTAAGAGTCAACAATATAATATAATGATTAAATGAATAGACAGACTTTTACATTTTCCCATCTATCTTGAATAGGCGATGTTAATTATTAAGTTTACAAGCACAATGTTTTATTTTTCCACTTCATCCATACAAAAATTATAATTCGTTTGAGACCGATTATTTTATTTTATAGTTTTAAATATTTTAATGAGTAATAAATGATGTTTTTCAATATTATCTTATTTATATTAGAATAATAACTATTTTCTCAAGTTTATTAAAAAAAAAAAAAACTATTTTCACAAGTTATCTTTACTTTTCAACTAAATAATCAAACTCACCAAGTTCTCCTAAAAAAGCAAGAAATGAATAAACGGAAAAAGAAAGAGAAAACAAATGTTTGAAAGAAAATAAAAAGAAGAAGAAAGAAAAGAAGGAAAGGAACTGACCCAAAAAGCAGTAGTGAAGCCAGCAATCCCAGAAGAAAGATGAATAACGTAACCACCAGAATAGTCAATAACACCCCAATGGAACAAGAACCCTCCGCCCCACAAGCTAAAAGCCCCCACTGTGTAAGAGAAGGTCAGCCAGAGCGGCACAAAAACCATCCAAGCCTTTATATTCATCCTCCCAAGCACCGAACCCGCCAGTAATATTAATGTTATGGCAGCAAAAACACACTGAAACCAAACCATGGACGCCATCGGATAGAATGGTGTAACCATGGCCGTCTCTACCTCTCCGCTTTCATAATACTGGGTTGTCTCTGGAAGAGCAGCCTGTTTGATAAGAAACTTCTGGCCTAAGGCAGGTCCAGCTTTTCCCCAAAAGGGCAAAAGCTTCTCTCCAAACGACATCTTATAGGCCCAAACGACCCAGCAGATGACCACAGCAGCAAAGGCGTACAAAGCCATGAAAGCTGAATTCACAGCCCATTTCTTTTTGACGATGCTTCCGTAGAGGATGACAAGGCCTGGCACGCTTTGGAGGCCAACCAGTGTCGCTGAGATCATTTGCCATGAATTGTCTCCTTTGTTTAACCAGTCAGGAACCGCCGCTGATGTGCCGCCTTGGTATGCGACTGGGACTGGGTTTGGAGGAGAAGCACTGCCCATTTCTTTCTACTTTTGTTTCAAACGCCGCAGGTACTATTGCGTTTCTATATGTAAATATAACAAATAAGCATGCAATTGAAGAATTTTTCTTTTTTATTTTTTTATTTTTTATTTTTTATTTTTTTTTGAATTGAAGTATTTTTTTACTATTTTCTTATTATATCTTGCTTAATTGGATGTGACATGATGCTTGCTGTTATTACTTAATTTTTATATAGGGAAGTCATATGTTTTGAACTTGAATCTCTCAACCTTTTACATTTTAAATTTTTATATAAATTACATGATATTATGATATTATGGTTTATATTTACTTAAACTTTCTTTTGTTAATATTAATGAACCTTTAATTTGGCCTTATGAAGTTATAGTAAAAGTTTTGTTTCCATATTATTACCAATTTAAAAATTATCAATTATATAAATTCTAAAACAAATTTTTACACTAGTTTTATAAGCATAGTATATTGATTTTAAAGGGCATGAATGATATTAACGGACTTAAAAAAAAAAAAAATCAAATATGAATAGAAACATATTGAAATAATAGAAAAATATATTTGATCCAAATGAAAATGGAATAATTTTTTTCATTTTGATATAAGTAAAATATTTTATCTGGCAATAACATTGTTTGTTCTGGTAATAGTGCCGATCTATATATTTATAATTTTTTTTGAGAATAAAAGAAAATACTTTCATTCGGAAATGATCAAATCATTCAAGACAAGATTATTAATAGAGGATGCAACTGCTGGACCAAGGAGAGACAGGGAAAACACCATCTTTAAAGAATGCTTCATAAAAAAGATTGTTGCCTCAAATTCAGCTTCCTCGAGACCAATACTTCGCCCCCTCCTTGAGTTATGGACAATCATTCCAAAACCGAACCCGACATTTTCCATGATAGTTGCATCTCGGTTTATCTTGGAAACACCTTCTGCAGGTGGAGACCATCGAGCAGAACTGGTTTTACTAGCAACGACTTCCTTGGCCATATAAGGACCTTGATACTCATCAAGTAAACTTAGAGCTTGCTGCACAATATTAGGAACTGACATAAGTTTATTTTTACCTCATTTAACGGAAAATGCCTCTGGTTTTGAACGGAAAGACTACTTATTAAGATGAAATTAGTGATGGAAGTGGTGCGGGTATTTAAGGGTACCCGCCTCGCTCCGATCGGTTAAAAGAGGATATTGGTAGTTATAAATTAATGGGTTTAGAACAGACATGGATAGTAAAATTACTATCCATAATAGATACAGATAGGGTACAAGTATAGGTATTTGGATACTCGCTACCTATTATCCGTTACCCGCTATATCAAACAAATTTGGCAGTTGATACCACGGGTATCCTATCCATTACGAGTAAAAATTGTATTTTTTATATAAGTTCGGATTTGGATAATTTAAGATTCATGGATACCCTCCCGCTATCATCCCTAGACAAAACCGAGGACCGAATACTTAATAATAAAAAATACCAGGCTGAATTGATTACTTTTGCAAAATCTCAAGGACAAAAAAAAACATTTTCCTTTATTTTACTACCCAAAATTCTACTAGAGAAGTAAAATAGATTTACTAACCAAATTCTGCAAATTTAGAAAGTAAGGAAATAACAGTATTCACTGCCCCAATCAGTAAGCATGGCCAAATGACGGTTCCGGGTCGTTTCGAACCGGCCTGGAACTGTAACCGGAACCGGTGAGAACCGGAACCGGGACGAACCGGAACCGGAATCGAAAAATTCAGGTTCGGTTCCGGTTCCAGAAAATTAGGAACCAGAACCGGCGGTTCCAGAGAACCGATCAGAACTGGACTGGAACCGCCGGTTCTCCGGGAAAATTAGGAACCCAGAACCGGCGGTTCCAGAAGAACGATCAGAACTTGGACTGGAACCGCCGGTTCTCCGGGACACGGTTGAACTGCCGGTTCGAACCGGCGGTTCTAGCCGTTGTAACTGTCATAACCTGGTTTTTTTTTTTAAAAAAATTTGTTGTGAAATCTTCTTAATTACCCCTCCCAACAACCAATAAAACGGCTACATAACCGGCTGGTTTCAAGGGGTATTTTGGAAAAATGAATTTTTGGCTTTTATATAAATACCTCATTTTATTTTAACAAATTCATACAAAAAACTCAACTCTCCCTACTTTTACTCTCTCTACAATATACTACACTTACTCTATATTTATTCATTTATTCTCTCTACTCTACAATCTCTCTTATTAAGTAATTATTGTCTTCTAATTTTTTTATTTCAATTTTCCAAATTATATCTTATTATCATAAATGGCAAGTGGAGGAAACTCAAGTGGAGGAAACTCAAATTCGGGTAAGGGCAAGGGAAAAATTGGAGAATCATCTATCCCTACAAACGACATCTATGATATGATTCCCGACCAATGTAATTTTGAGGGTTTTCCAAATGAAAATTTGGATATTCCAACTCAAGAATCCGAATTTAATGAGCAATTTTAAGAAGATGAAGAGCAAGAGCAAGAGCTACGAGCAAAAATTGTTACAAGAGCAAGATAAAGTTCCGACATATTCTCCATTCATTTCACAAAAAAATTCAAAGGTGAGAAAATGTACGATATAATTTGCAATTATGTAATTTGCAATTATTGTGGAAAATTCTTATAACATTTAAACAGCGGTCGGCTATGGATCATTTTGGAAGCCATTTTGGAGACAAAACATCCAACAAAAATTAGGGAGTTGATCGGTCTCAAACACAATATTTTCCGGTTACGCTTCTAACCTTTCTTTTATAAATATTCTGAAAAAATACAAAAAGAGAATTAGCAAAAAATGATTCTTATGGAACCATTTATCTTTTAGTTTTTGGTGAAAAAGGTAGGTTTAATAATTATTGTCAAAAATCTTTAAATCCTTTCTGCTAAAAGAGTACCAAGAAATACTGTTTAAAACGAACTATTATTTCTTTATATAATAAAGGAAAAAAAAAGAGTTAGAGCTTTTATTTTCTCAAATGAAAATTCGTCAGTGTCAATTTGTGTGATGTTTTGGAGTGAATCATTGGCAAATGCATTCTTATATGGGTATTACATGTCATTGATTGATGATGATTGGAAAATTTCAAAAAAAGACATTATTGGTCGTTGTTTTTTGATTGATTAAACATACTGCAAAATAATATTTATAGAGTAATTGTTTCAATTTTTAGATGAATATAAGTTGACAAAAATTTTTTTTCAATTTCAATTTTATAATTGCTTCTGCAAATACTAGAATTAATTATTGACTTAAAAAAATTTGTGCGAACAAATATTGGTGCGAAAATTTTTCATATAAGATGTTGCATGCCATGTTTTTTAAATTTATGTGTACAAGATGGTTTAAAAATTCTTGAATCTTTTATTTCTCCCAATTAAAAAAAAGCTATTTCATATTTATGGAACACTCCCAAGTGATGAAAAGTTGGCTAAATTTGTAAAGAAAATAATAAAACACCAAAACGTTTTTCCAAGGATGTCCCACTCGTTGGAATTAAACATATGAATTACTAAAACGAGTCTTTTCTTATAAAAAAAAATAAAAGAAAGATTAATTATGCTTTTTTGTACTAATATTATTGAGGATATTCAAATTTTATAATCCACAAACAAAATCTTGGGATGATTTGAATTGCAAAAATTTTAGAATAAATTTTTTTCAAAAAATTTATTAAATTGATGCATACCTATAATTATAGTGGGTTTAATATTATCCCACTATCTACTTTATTTTTACCTATGTGTTTTATATTATATATTATTACTTAGCACTCAAGAAATTTCAAAATGATGATTTATTAAAAAGATTGTAATTTTTTACAAGAAAAAAACAAAAAAAAAATGGTATAATTACATATAAAATATACCACTTCTTTACTATGAATTGCTATTGTGTTATTTGATCCTAGATGTAAATGGATTGTTTTATGTGATTATTTTGACTATTTATTATGGAATACTGATATAAATCTTTGAATGTAGAAGAATTAATGTTAATATAAATTAGTAATGCATGAAGTTTAAACAAAATATTATGCAATATATATTAATGAATTTGTTCAAGTTTCTAGGTCATCTACTTCTACTTCTACTTTCTTCTACAACTAATATTACAACATATTTCCAACACAAAGGGATAAGTGGTAAGTTGGAGTAGTTGCATCAACAAGTTTTACTAACAAGACAAAAAAAAGAACAAGGGAATCCAGTTACTATTATTCTGAATTTGATAATTATCTTTAACAACTTCTTTTGAGTTTAGGTTGATGAAATTATTAGATTACTGATTTTCCAATTTTAGATGGTGGATCGTCAACGAAGCAAAACTTTTCCAAATTCTTTCTTTACTTGGCAAAACAAATATTTAAAGCAGCCCAGGTCTCTAAAACTGTACGAGTTAGAACAAGCTTCTTAGCAAGGAGAGGAAAAAACTTTGATGAAACACCGATCTTCGATAATGACACCCAAATTCAATTAGAAGCCACAAGCATGCGTGCGATGATTAAGGACAAGGCCGAACTAAGGAGACCCAAAAGAAAAATCCAAAAGAAAATGAAAAATTATATAGATCTTTAATACGATTAGGAATCCTCTAAACGGTAACCATTAATCAGGGTAGATGCAAATTAGCGTATTAAGGAAAAGGGGATGAAATTGGATATAAGGTAATGTAAGAACTACGTGGAGCTTGAAATTACTCTAAACCCCAAGAGAGAATACGTAGAGCAACTCTAATTTTTTTTAAAACAAAAAACAAAAAAAAACATATAAAGTTCAAAGCCCATTCTTTTTTTTTAAATTATGTTTCAAATCTTAATAAAAAAAAAAAAAACTCACGTTATGAAATTTTTAAAAAAAATAATCTATGTTCAACTAGTTCAAGTCCATTTAAAAAATAAATTTAATATGAAGTATATTATATTATTTTTAGTTGTATTTTTTAATTTTATGTTCAAATAAATTTTTAATTTTTTAAAACCAGGTCTATCATAAAT